TCCTGGAGGCACTGGTGATTGCTGGAAACAAGAATGCTGCTTCCGAGCGGCCATGGGTAACCTGCAAGGACCCAGTGGCTGCCGCGGCCATTACAGCCCAGAGGGTGGGATGGCGGTTTCGGGACGCGGTGACCTTGGTGGACGATCGGGGGGTCGACTGGGATCTGCGATTTTACTCGCCTGCCTGCATCGCAGCTCAGATTTCGTTCGCGGCTCGACGCGCCTCGGACGTCCGAGCGCTCAGCCTGCAGGACGATGCCTGGGTCACCGACGTGTGCTGGAGGCCCCTGCTTGAGCTGATGTTTTGTGACTGGACGGAGGCCTGGGGCCGCCACGAGCAGAACTCTCTTCGGGGCTTGGTTTCAGGTTCCCACTGGACCCAGGGCCGGCTTCACGACCAGGAGCCGTCTCTCCCAGAGGAGTGCCAACTGTGCAAAGCATCTCGGGGAACCATGTTTCACCGTTGCTATGCCTGCCCTGCGCACGATGTTTTCCGACGGGATTGCATGCCCACGGAGTTGGCCAGATCGGTCGACAGAATGAAGCAGAGCCCGCCAGCTTGGAAGGAAAGGTTTGCGCGGGGGTTGTTTCCTGAGCCTGGCCAGTGCGTGGGGAGACCACCTTTCAATCCAAGCTGGGGGCTGTGGGTGCACGGCGCCCTCCAGCTGCCAATCCTCCTGGAAGGAGGGTACGTCTTCACGGATGGGTCGGGCCTCGACCAGCACCACCCGTCCCTCAGAGTTGCTGGCTGGAGCGTGGTGCTGTACGACTCCGACAGATGCTACGTCGGAGCGCTATTTGGAGCAGTGCCGCCTGATATCGGCATCACTGGCACGGCCAGAGATGGCGAAGACTATGCTATGCTGATGTGCGCCCAGAATGTTCTGGGTCAGTTCTCTGCGCGGGCAGACTGCAAGGGTACACTAAGTTGCTGCCAGTCGCCCAGCATGTCGACTTCGGCGTGCAACCCGCGAGCCCACCTGTGGAGGCGGGCTCATGCGCGCGAAGATTTCCGTGCTCGGCCGTTCGAGCACGTCAAGGCCCACACGTCGGCCGCCAGCGTTGAGCGCGACCTGATTTCGCCGTTCGACAGAGACGGCAACAATGCTGCAGATAGCTTCGCCAAGAAAGGTGCGGCCCAAGCCAGAGCCGCCGTCTGCGACGTTGAGCTGGTAGAGGGATGCCAGTTGATTGCCAAGCTCGCGGCCAAGTTTTCGGCCCAGCTGGCGGCATCGATGGCCTCATCCGAAATTCGGGACAATGCTGGGGTCGAGTACCTCAAGAAAATCGACCTGGGGCTGGTGCACTACCACGGTTTGTCGGTCCCAGAGGTTCCTGAGGCGGAGTCCACTGATGCGGTCCTCCCTCCTCCCGAGCCTCCTGCTCGTGCTGCTGCGGTGGAACCTCCAGGGCCCGCCTCAGAGGATCCCGACTGGCTCCTGGACAAGGGTGTTCAGCCCTGGAGAGTGAATGGTCACTGTGCAGTGCAGAGCTCGGTGCCCAATAATTCCCCGATCATGTATTGCCCGTCTTGTTGGCAGTATGCGACCACAGCGAGGTCTTGTGGGAGTCTGCAAGGGGCCCAAGAAGATTTCGGGGGGGTCAGCGTACACTGTCCGAAAGAGGCTGGAAGAAGGTTTTCATACTGTTTTGCACCCTCTGGTGGCGCTCGGGCCTTCGGAGGCCCCGTCCGATGAGACCAGGGGCCGTTTCTCCAGGCACTTCGGGGAGGCCCCTGTTGGGGCGGCCGTGGCTCCAAGAGCGCCGAGGGTCGTCCCGTTTTCGAAACAGGCCGTGGCTCCACGCCTCGGCTTGGATTCCGTGCTGCTCGCTTTTGGTTTCAGCTCCAGAGCGGAGGCTGAAGAGCTTGGTCGACAGGTGCTCCTGGATCGAGCTTCTGCCCAGGCCAGGGCGGCGGGTGCCGCGGACCCAGAGGCTGAAGGGTAAGTTTCTGGGGGGTGGGGGGCCCTGTCGGCTGGGCCCGCCCGAGGTGGATCACAGCCTCGGGAACAAAAAGTTCTCGTCTGATGGGCGCCCCCACCCCAATTTTCCTTTCTCCCCCCTTGACTCTCCCTCTATGGGCGGTGAACCTCCTCCTCCTCCTCCGCCTCTCTCAAAATTCTGGTCAGAGCGCACTGGCGTCTCCGGCCGCGGCGCCAGGGAGCTTCCCTCGAGGCCCCCAAGAAGAAGGCTTATTGGCAACGCCCACAGAGGCCTTGACCCGCGACGATGACACCTCGAGCCTCGACCCTCCCTACAGTGCCGTTTTTAATGCGTGCTCCGCGTGCGGATCATGTATCATAAATGCAGGGATGCAGTATTAAAAACAACGATGAGTTCATGCATAAATGCATTCATAGATTCATCATGTATTGAAAATCCGATGTTAAAAACAAATCCAGGGCCCGCTCCCCGCACGCGGCGCGGAGCGGCAGCAGGAAGGAGGCGCCGGCGGCAGAGGACAAAGAGCAGTGCTGCCGCAGCCGGCCGCGGGCAGCGGGCGGCCGGCGGCGGGCCGAGCGCTCGAGGCTGGCGCAGGAGAGGGAGAGGGAGAGGAAGAGAGGGGGGGGGGGAGGGAGAGAGCGAGAGAGAGAGGGAGAGAGGGAGAGGAAGAGAGGGAGAGGAAGAGAGAGGGAGAGGAAGAGAGAGGGGGAGGGAGAGAGAGGAAGAGAGAGGACGAGAGGGGGGGAGGGAGAGAGCGAGAGAGCGCAGAGCGACGCAGAAATACGAAGACGACGACGGCGACGGCGACGACGACGGCGACGGCGACGGCGACGGCGACCGCGACGACGACGGCGACCGCGACGGCGGCGACGACGGCGACGACGGCGACGACGACGACGACAGCGACGACGACGAAGACGACGACGATAACGATAACAGCAGCAGGCACGTGAGAGCAGCAGGAGCGGCAGCGGCGGGTGGACGTGCAGGCAGGCGGCGCGGCCCCCATCTGCGGTGCGCCCCCCCGGGGTTGTCGGACGCTGCGCCCGGCCCCAGTGTTGAGTCGGGCTGGTCGCTCTACAGCGGGAAAATTACAAAATGGTCCAGAAATAGTTTGGGAACGGTTCTTATACTTTTCGAATATGTTCGAAGTATGCTTTATTCCTCGTCCAGAATCCGCCTTCAGGGGGACACGCCCGACCTGACCCCAGTGGCCACGCACCTGAGAGTTCGGTTCGTGCTGGGGCTGCGGACATTCGAAAGAAGTGAGGTACAGGTGGTCCAGGCTTCCCAGATGTGGTCGGAGTAGATCGGAGATTGGGGGGTGAGATCGCAGTGGAACGGAGACCCCCATCCGGGAAATCGTTTCGTTTCGTTCGTGTCGTGCGTGCGGGCGAGGCGAAGCTGCGTGCGCGCGCGAGAGGAATGAACCCGCCGTTGTTAGAGTGAAGTCGAGACAAATGATTCTCCACCTCCCGCCTGTCCGGCGGTGGCTCGCGGTGTCCCGCGGTGCCCCGTGGTGTCCCGTGGTGTCCCGTGGTGTCCGCTGTTGCTGGGGCGAAGTCAAGACAAATGATTCTCCCCCTCCCGCCCGTCTGGAGTTGGCTCGCCGTGTCCCCTGGGGTCCCGTGGTGTCCCGTTGAGTGAGATCGATACTGAGATCGATACTGAGATCGATGTGGTGCCCCGAGGTGTCCCGTGGTGTCCCGTTGAGTGAGATCGATAGTGAGATCGATAGTGAGATGGACAGGTGTCGTGTCCCGTGGTATCTCCCGTTGTGTCCCGTTGAGTGAGATCAATAGTGAGATCGATAGTGAGACCGATGTGGTGCCCCGAGGTGTCCCGTGGTGTCCCGTTGAGTGAGATCGATAGTGAGATGGCCAGGTGTCCCGTGGTATCCCGTTGTGTCCCGTTGAGTGAGATCGATCGTGAGATTGATAGTGAGACCGATAGTGAGATCGATGTGGTGTCCCGAGGTGTCCCGAGTGTCCCGTGGTGTCCCGTGGTGTCCTAAGGTGTCCCGTTGAGTGAGATCGATAGTGAGATCGATAGTGAGACAGATAGTGAGATCGAGATGTGTCCCGCGGTGTCCCGCGGTGTCCCGTGGTGGCCCGTGGTATCCCGTGGTGTCCCGTTTAGTGAGATCGATAGCGAGATCGATAGTTAGATCGACAAGTGTCCCGTGGTGTCCCGTGGTGTCCCGTGGTGTCCCGTTGAGTGAGATCGATAGTGGGATCGATTGAGTCAGATGTTGGTTCCCCCCCTCTCCCCCCCCACAACCTCCTTATCACCCGAAGGGTGGTCGTATAGGTATGGGGTCGGAGGATCGCGCCGAATCGCCGATGCGTCGGCGTTGCGGCTCGGTTCGGGGACCGATTTGTTTCACGTCGACGTCGCCAATGCATGCCCCACGTCGACGATTCATCGCCGATGCATCTGCGATGCGTCGACGACGCATCGCCGATGCATCAGCGATGCGACGCGATCCTCCGACCCCATCTACTCCGACCCCATCTAGGAGGCCTCTAGGTGGAGGACAGTACATGGACAAAATATTCGAATGCTCACACACTTGAGGGGGATGTTCATCCGCCCCCTGCCCCCGAAATCAATGTTGATCTTTGCACGGGTGGTGGTTGGGGGGTTCGAACATTTCTGTCCACCCATGCCCTCTCCACTGCCGCACCCTCCATATTTGGTTCGCGGGTCTGGGGGGGCAGCTTGCGCCGCAGGATTCGAACTCACTGTCCATGCAGTGGAGGAATTCAGTCAACCCGCATACTGAGGATGGGCAACCTTGCCAAGAGGGTACCCTTGCATCCTTGCCTCCTCGGTCCATCCTTCGCTCCTTCCGTTGGCCGCGCCCCGCTCGAAAAGCTTTGACATGGCCTTCCAAGGCCCCTGCATCCTTATCGTGCATCCTTGGATACGGGTCGAATGCAGGAGCGGCAGCAGAAGGACGAGCAAAGCTGCAGAAGCGGCAGGCAGAAGCACAGCTGCACGCGTGGGCGGGTCGCGCCCTCCCCCTCCCGCCCTGCACCGGCCGCCGCCCGCAGCTGGAGAGCTCCCGCCGCCTCTCCTCCAGCGAGCGGCAGGTCTTCTTCCACCACCGCAGCGCCCGCCCCAGCACGTCGGGGCGGGCGGGGCGGGGAATCGAAGAAGGAAAACGCCAAAAGTTTATGTTTATGGCGCTTGTCCTTCTTCTAGGGAAACCGGCCGGGTCGACCAGCGCTCGACCGCGGCCAGAATGTTCGGATGGTCTCGTCGGCTCCTCTGCAGGCTTTCCCGCCTCAGGGTGCGCTCCAGCAGCTGCGCCTCGCCGGAAGCGTTCCAGTCGGGTTGCGCCTCAGATGGAACTCCACCTGCGGCCTGCGGCCGCAAAAAGGCCGTTCGCACGGCGACGCCAAGCCCGCTTCTGCACACCCCTCACGCGTTTTGTGCTGCACAGGGGGCTCTACCTGCGGTGCCAGTGGGGGCGCCCGCGCAGGGTCGCCCCGCCCATTTTGGCACGCCTTTCACGCGGATCACGCCCCACCGGGAGCCCCACCTGCGCCCACAGCGAGTGCGCCCGCATGGCGTCGCCCTGCCAATGTCGTCTCCTCCCTTGCGAGGATGGTGCCTCAAAGGGACCTCCAGTTGCGGCCCCATTGAGGGTGCTCGTGCAGCATCGCCACGCTCATTTGAGCACACCCTTCACGCGGATTCTGCTCCACCCGTAGCCCGGGGGACAGATGTCGAACTGCATGCTGCCTCCGACGTCGGCACACCCTGCACGCGGGTCGCGTTCACATATAGAGCTCCAACTCCATGGACCCCGGGCGTCCAATACATGAGGCAATTCCTTGCGATACAAAGAGCGACACAGGATTGGGCTATCCGCCTGGCCAGGTTTAGCTACACAGTTGGGCTTGCGCTGACAGGGCTCGAATATCTGGGCATGCGTGCGTGTGCCGTACTAGGTTCACGCGTATTTCGACCGTGCACAAGATGCCCACTTTCACTCACACATGGCATGTGTTGTGCGCAGACGTTTTCGAAAGGTCTCAGCCGCCGAATTGAATACTGCAGAGAGAAACCTTCTAATTATGAAGCATTGGGTTCGCACCCCGCCAGCATCTCACCCCAAGGTGTCCTCCCACTCCAACTCGGGATCCCCATCGCTCTACCGCCGAGGTGCCCTCTGCTTCTACCCGGACGGCTCCACGAATAATGGCTGGCTGATAGGTTTCACTGCAGTCCACATGGACAGCTTCGACATGCAGGCCTTCATAGGCGCGCCGGCAGCTCTCCTTCCATACAACGCAGGTCTGGCTGGCATTGCTTCCTCGCTTATCCCGTCCTCTTTTTTGCGCTCCTCATCAGATTGTTCCCTTGTCTCCTGCCCTCCTGTCTCCAGTTGACAGTGTTCGCCCGATGATATCCACATCGACTGCTCTGGATCGACGAGGCACCCTTGCACTCTTACCTCTGCGATTGAAGCATCCGTGCACTGAAACAGGCCATCGGCCGCACTGGGGAACGAGGCTCCGTCGTCGTGCTAGCTGTTTCCGCGAGGGAGGCGATATGTAATTCTTACACACGCGTGTACGAGTCCCGCCCTGCGGTATTCGCTTCGAGTTCCTCGGTTCGTTACGGTGAGGTTCGGGCGAGGGAGCAATCCGCATTGTCGTCTCAGTCATTGCTGCTTGTGGCAGTGCGTATCGCCTTCGGTATCCTGCAACATCTGCTAGACGGGGTTTGAGAAACTGGTCAGGACGGGGTCTTGGAGTAGCCAGGGGACCGATTTCGAGCTGACCATGGCCAGGATGAAAACAATAGATATGTTGTTCCGAGGCGCAAGCGAACAAGTAAGGGTCCGTAACAGTTGTGTCAAGTTGTTTTCTCATGCCGCCTGGCTCAGGGCCTCAGGCGTGTTCAACCAGTATGTGCGGGGACAGCAGTTTGCCCGCACGCTTGCTGAGGCTGATATCTTGAGAGGCAAGCCTTCGCTAGGGCACTGGCCACGGTCGACGATGGAGCCACCTGAAAAGAAGGCAAGGTCGGAGGTTGCAGAGGAGGCAAGCGCCAACATCGATGCGGTGCGCAGATTCGAAGCTACAGGGACAATTGAAGTTGACCTAGCGGATGGCACGGCCATGGTGCATCCAGCGTTGTTGGGCCTTGCGTCACCAGTCTTTGCAGCCATGCTGTGCACAGATATGCAAGAGAAACGTCAACAGAAGCTCAACCTCCCTGGAAAGACGAAGGACGATTTACAGCTCTTTTTGGAATTTGTGAGGCCAGGCTCACGTAAATGCATCGATGTGGGCACTGTCGACCGCATGTTGCCGTGGTTCGACGAGTACCAAATGAACGACCTGAAAGAGGAATGCCAGACGCTGCTGACAACTCTCCCAGTCGATTCCGAACGACTTTTGCAAGCAGACCGATTTGGGCTCGCGAGGCAATATCAGCGATGTGTGAAGGAGCTGTCTTTGAAAGAGTACAGGGCGGGCTTAACAGATTTGGTGGGTGTTCCAGCCGTTCTGAAAGATTTGCGCCCGCATTTAGAAATTAAGCACCCAAACGCAAAGCGTTGTCTTACTCTCGTGGACAACCTCATCGAGAAGGGTGTGGATTTGAAAGGACTGCCACGTCTCCTTCTCGCTTGTCTTGGTGACGGCGACAAATCTCTCACGGAGCGTTTCTGTGCACTCGTGAACAATTTTGTTCAGAAGGGTGTGGGCTTGGAGGACATGATACCTATTATTGACCTGTGTGTCGAACATGATTGTGGCACGAAAGTTCTCACGGACGATGTCATGCCTTTGCTCGTCGATTTGAATCGGTCAAGTGACCCATTGCAGGTGGCCGCGTCGATGTTGACTCTACAACGCTTGTCGGAGCAGAGAATGGAACAACGACTCCAACAGATATCGCGCAGAATTGATACGGTGGCTTATTCAGTGTCTCAAACTCTTCCTGGACAATTTCGTGACTGGGCCCACGGGCGAATCATGCAGATTAAACCCCTCTGATGAGCGAGCGGTGCCCAAGTACGCGTGTAGTTACATTCGACGACCGCCGTGACAACTTGTAGACGGCCCGCCGACAAGCCGCAAGATGTATCACTGACGTTCCCGCCGAGCCACGACCATGCTGTGCACTTCTAGAACGGAAACACACGCGCAGGCAACCGCTGGGGCACGACGTGGCAGAGCTGTTGGGCTGCGTGCACCGTCCGGCCTTCGCGAAAACCGTGTGGGGGCGGGACGGGCGGTGATCCCCGTCGTTGCGGAGCCCTTTGGGGCCCCCGCGGGCCTCTTGGGAATTTCCTTCTGCCACAGCACAAGCGAGGAGGGGTGAGGCGAGCGTGTGAGGCCCAAGACCCACCCACACATCCGAGGCCCGAAAACCATCACGTCACTAATTTTGGGCCCCAGGGCCAACTGAGGCCCCAGGGGCCCCAGATTAGTGAAGTGATGTTTTTTTTCCGACGTAATGACCCCGAAATTCATCACTTCACTAAGCCGAACCCAGGACGAAAGTCAGGGGCCGAATTGCTGCCGTGATGCAACACCGGTCGCGTAATGCACGACCACCAGAGGGGCGGGGAACTCGGGACACCAGTCCAAAAAGCACTGGTAAAGCGCACGCGCGCGCACCGCCCAGGAATCCCAAACCGAGGACTCCCATCTGGACGCCCGAGATGGGCACGGAAAGAATGGGTACGATGTCCAACAGCAGTTCCTGTTCATTCTGAACAGGATTCGCTCTCCACGCCGCCGCGGCCTGTGTCCGTTCGAGACAGAGGGCCGCCTGCCCAACAGCGGCCGCTGTTGGTTTGGGGCAACAGTTGTTGTTGGGCATTGTACCCATTCTTTCGGTACCCATTTCGGGTGTCCAAATCCCAGGTTCTCATCTTCGCCCCGGGACCACCCCGAACATCCCGAACGGAGCGGAGGAGGGGGGGCCAGCTCAGCCAGACCTCCGACGCCGTGCTCTTGGTCACACACAACGTGGGCCCCGGAAGTCTCGATGCTCTCCCGTGGACCAGCTTCTCACTCCGAGCGGTTTTTGTTCGCAGCCATCCTTTTTGGTGCTGGGTCCTCGTCGTGGATGCGCCGTGCCCCGCCCCACCTCCTCTCGCTTCAATACTTCTCCCTCTCCTCCTTCCTCCCTGCCCTCCGAATGTTCCTCGATCTCGGCACACGACACACACCACACGTTCCGTGGGTCCCAGAGGGGCTAAGCCAGAGGCCCCAGTGGCAGGATGCACATGTGTCTCCTTGCACATCTCGGCACGCCTCTCACACGTTTCGAGGCCCCCTGGAGATCTCCACCGACGTCCCCAGTGGAAGGTCGCACATTCGCCCATGGGAGACTCCACCGAAAGCCCCAGTAGCGTGGCGCGCATGCGTGCCCGCGCCCTTCTCCGCACACCCCTCACACGCTTCGTGGCCACATGGGGAGCTCCACCGAAATCCCCAACGGCAGAGTGTGCATGCGTCCCCATCCGAAGTTCGGCACGTCCGCTACACGCTTCGTGGACCCATAGGCAGCTCTGCCGAAGGCTTCGGGACGCGCGCCGCCTATGACGAGAGAGCCGCGCCTTGCGCTACTCGCATTGGCACATGGTTGGGTCAGTCGTCTGACTAATTTGATTGTCCCTAGGACCGGTGAGGGCCCCCCGAGGTCGACGGTGGCCAAGCATGTGCCGACGTGTTTTTCCCCAACGCGAGGAGGTTCGGTGTTCGTGCGTTGTCGGTCTTGGGGGCCGTGTTGGGAGGGGGAGTCTCAGACGTGCATTGGGCCATCCCGGTGGGTTTCTTAAGCCATTTGGGGCGCAGCGGGCAGCAGAAGAGGATATCATATGATTGACGGCTGGGTCCCAAGGCCCAGGGGCAGCACAGGTTTCCAAAATTTGTCCCTCCCCCCCCCTGGTAACCCGAATTGGGCCCCACGGGGTTCTGGGGCTCGGCCCGCGCGTGGGGGGGCCCAAATCGTTTCCGACGGCAGGCAATCAGACGGCCGTCAAGGCTATTCAAATGGCCCGCAGGGGTCTCAGGCAGCTCACGGATCGTCTCAAACGGCCCAAGAGGCCTCGAAGATCGCTCAAGAGGGCCCCCAAGAGACCCTTTAGTGGCAAACATCGCCAAATTCCCTTCATTGGGGAAATGTGTTTTTTGTTTTAGGCAGATTCGCTGTTTTGATGTTCACTCCGTCCAGGACCGCCCGACGAGACGGCCCAAGAGCCCCCCGAGACGGCCCTAGGATGGCCCAAGAGGGCCCCAGGACGGCCCAAGAAGCCACCAATATGTCCCATCAGGGCTCCACGAGTGCCCTGAGAGGGGGAACATGGATGGTTCTCAGAGCCATCCGCCCCAAGATGGCCCCCGAGCTCGCCAACAGGGTACCAAAAGGCCATCGAGATGCAACCAAGAGGCCCGCAAGAGGCCCACAACAGGCCCCAGAGAGGCCCCGAGCGGCATCTCGGAGTTGGATGCCAGTTCGCAACTGGCACGCTTGAGCTAATCTGAGGGGTCACGGCTGTCCCGGTGCAGGCTGGTATAATAAAGTGTTTCAGCACCATCGTAGTCTTGGATGCGCATCCAGGATCACTTCGAAGAGTTTGAGACCCTACTCCTCCCCTTCCCCCCTACAACTGCACGCTCTCGACAAGGAGCTCGGAGCAGGATCAGCATTCCAAGGAGGCGAAGGTTGACGCCGAGGAGGAGGAGGGCTCGAAGGAGGATGCCCACCCAGGTCGCGCTCGGGTCGCCGTTCCGGGCTATGCCGACACACCTGAGCTAATCTGGTCGTGGCTGTCCCAGCGGTGAGTCCTATTATGACGAATTCAAGACGGCCCCGCAAGAGAGCCCAAGAGGCACCATGAAGGGCTCCACAGGGGACCTACAGAGGCCAGGACCATCAGTCAACTTCCAATAGGCCCGCACGACGCCCCCACGTTCGCACGCCCCAAAAAACTCCCAGAGGCCCCCAGAGGCCCCCGAACGGATTCCAGTAGGGTCCACGAGGTTCCCCACGGGTCCCCACGAAACTTCGTCGAAAATGTCGATCCTCCTCGATCCTCGATCCTCGATCCTCGATCCTTCCCTCCTCTTCCCTCCCTCCCCCATCCCTCCCCTCGGCCGTTCGGGACGATTCAGGCTAGGAGGAGGGGGCAGGACAAGGGGAGGCCAAGGACTGCTTCGCCTGCGTTTCATCACAGCGACATGCACTGCGCTATAACCGAAGCGCGCGCGAAGCGCGAGCGTGGTTCTAGTGTTTCATTTTGAGAGGTGCAGTCATCGTGCTACAAGAAGGGACGCCAATCATGCATCGAGATACAGTCATCGTGCTACTAAAGGGATACGGCCAATTGGAACGAGGGGAGCTTCTCTGGCCACGGCGAGCTTCGGCCATGAATAGGTTCCTCGACCTAGTTGTAAGGGGCGGCCCGAACATCAGAGCCCCCCTCAGCCCGAAGTTGCCTTGATTTCAGTGTGCGTGCTGCAAGGTTCAGGAGCCAGAAAACACGATAAGAGAGACGGCAAGCTACACCAGCAGACCAGCATACCATACCAGCAGTGACCTTTGCAGGTTGGGAATCCCCAGAAGGGGGCCGTTGGATTTGTTGCAATTCCCATGCCGTGCCGCTTGGAGACGGACTCTCTCCGCTGGCAGTTCCCGCCTCGCGCTACAGTCAGTACGTTGCAATAAGGGGCACATGGCCGGGGAGGGGCTTCCATTTCTACCCCGTTCCTTGGACCATCGGCGGGAAATGTGCTTATGCTCGATGTTTGCGGTTGCTATACTCACAAGCCCATTCGCCCTTTGCGCAAGGTTATTTTTGGCAAGACGACGATTGTACGATGATGTGTTGGAAAGGCGTTCTTTCCACGGCGGCGATGGGCGTGATTGCCCGTGGGCGCTGCGGCGTCCTGTGTCCTCTTTGCCAATCGCCTATATTCTTCCCGTCGTTCCTGCCCCTCCCCCTAGCCATCCATACATCCCGCCGCCCCACAGACTAGAAAAGCGAACGACCCAGGCATCCCAATCGGGGTTGGAGGATTTCTCGCCACATCGCCGATGCATCATCGGCGACTCGGCGCGGCCCAGAGCCCGCTACTCTCGCTACCACGGCGCCGCAGATGCCTCGGACACCAAGACAAAAGGCGAGCAGACACAGGGATCCGAGCAGCCGAGAGGGAGCAGAAGCGGCAGGAGGAGCAGGAGGAGAAAGGACGGGTGTCCGCGGTTCGGTCGGGTCGGCTGTGTCGCGATCGGCCGCGGCCGCCCTCGTCTTCTTCTTCTTATTCTTCTTCTTCTTCTTCTTCGTATTCTCCTTCTTTATCATTATTATTATGCGTTTCCTTCGTCTTCTTATTATTAGTCGTCTTCTTCGGTTTCTTCTTCGTCGTCTTCGTCTTCGTCTTCTCATTTGTATTATTATTCTTATCCGTAGTATTATTATTATCCCCCCCCCGTTGCACGCCGCCCCATTAGGTTTTCAGTTGCAATCACACGCTGGAGCGGATTGCCTTTGCCTCGCCGCCGACAAATAAAAATTGTGTCGCGGGCGGCTGCGTTCGGTCGGTTCCGATCGTTTCGGTATGTTGTGGCGTCGTTGCCGCGGTCGCTTTTCCATCTCGGGCGCTCCTGGCAGGTTCAGTTTGGGCTGGTTTCAGTTGCGCTGTCGGCTTGGTCAGTTTTCGGCTTTGTTGTTGTCGTCGGCGGCCTAAGAAAGGAAGGATACTTGTTAGGATGGAAGGAGAAGTAATCATGCATTCCTCTTCCTATATTTTTACAAGCCTGGGGGGGGGGGGGGGGAACCGCCGTCCCCCCCCCCAAAAAAAATGGACCCCCGGGATCTGGGGTTCTCGGGCTCCCTTGGACGTCCTTGGAAAAGGTCACCCGGCTTTCCGGGTGTCCACAAACGCCTTGCCAGCAGACCCAGAGCGATCCGAGGGGTCATCAGAAAGGCTCAAGGGCTCAAGGGAGGCCCCAGACAGCACAAGAGCGCTCCAAGAGGGACTCCAATTGCGTCAGGACGGCCCAAAAGACCCCCAAGGCACCCCAAAAAGTTTTCCAAGGGGCCTTCAAAACACAAACATCGTCCCATTCCCTTCGTAAAACTTACAATTTTAGCATATTCGCCTTTCGGATTTCATCAGCTTCCAAGACGGAATTAAAGCCCCCGAGATCGCCTCGTGACGCCCCAAAAGGCCCCCAAGAAAGCTTCAAGACGGCCGAGCCGGGCCCCACGATCGCCCACGAGAGCCCCAAGACAGCCCATAATGGATCCAAGAGGCCCCCCAAGGGCTCCCAGCACAGACCCAAAAGGGCCATGGGCGGTCCCCGGAAGTGCCCAAGATGGGTCCAAAAGGGGGCTCCAGCGGGCCCAAGCTCCCCAAGACGGCCCAAGAAGGCCCCAGGACGGCCCATTAAGGCGCCAAAACGGCCCACGAGGGCCCCGAAAACACCCCCACGACGTTTCCGAATGCCAACATAAAGACCCCCAAGGCACCCCAAAAAGCTTCCCAAGGGGCCTTCAAACCACAAGAATCGTCCCATTCCCTTCGTTAAACTTACAATTTTAGCATATTCGCCTTTCGGATTTCATCAGCTTTCAAGACGGTTTCAGAGCCCGCGAGATCGCCTCAAGACGCTCCAAAAGGCCCCCTAGAAAGCTTCAAGACAGCCGAGCCGGGCCCCACGATCGCCCACGAGAGCCCCAAGACAGCCCATAATGGAACCAAGAGGCCCCCCAAGAGCTCCCAGCACAGACCCAAAAGGACCATGGGCTGTCCCCGGAAGTGCCCAAGATGGGTCCAAAGGGGGCTCCAGCGGGCCCAAGCTCCCCAAGACGGCCCAAGAAGGCCCCAGGACGGCCCATTAAGGCGCCAAAACGGCCCACGAGGGCCCCGAAAACACCCCCAAGATGTTTCCGAATGTCAACATTCATTAATTTTGCTCCCATGACATTCCACATTGTGACCCAGTCGTTGAGGGTCTCGTGGCATGCAGCGAAGATGCCCGAGGATGCCCCGTACGAGTTGCATATGCATGTTCATACCCTTACACACATAAACTTATATGTACATATGCACGCTGTACACACATACAACAATGTAGATATATTGTATAACCTAGACATGTATACGGAACGTGCATGCACGTGCGCGTGTATACATGCATGCGCGCATGTACACACGCACGCATTCCGCTTGCGTGCAGAACTCAAATGACCAAGGTGCATGGCGCGCAGCGCCAATGCAGTCTTGTATATACATATATATATATATATATATGTTCCTCTTCCCATATTTTTGCAAGCCCGGGGGGAGGGGGGGGGGGGAAAACCCTCACCCCCCTTCCCCCCAAAAAAAATCTGGACCCCCGGGATCTGGGGTTCTCGGGCTCCCTTGGACGTCCTTGGAAAAGGTCACCTGGCTTTCCGGGTCTCCACAAGCGCCTTGTCAGCAGACCCAGAGCGATCCGAGGGGTCATCAGAAAGGCTCAAGGGAGGCCCCAGACAGCACAAGAGCGCTCCAAGAAAGACTCCACTTGCGTCAGGACGGCTCACAAGACCCCCAAGGCACCCCAAAAAGCTTTCCAAGGGGCCTTCAAAGCACAAACATCGTCCCATTCCCTTCGTAAAATTTACAAGTTTAGCATATTCGCCTTTCGGATTTCATCAGCTTTTCAAAACGGTTTCAAAGCCCCCGAGATCGCCTCCAGACGTTCCAAAAGGCCCCCAAGAAAGCTTCAAGACGGCCGAGCCGGGCCCCACGATTGCCCACGAGAGCCCCAAGACAGCCCATAATGGAACCAAGAGGCCCCCCAAGGGCTCCCAGCACAGACCCAAAAGGGCCATGGGAGGTCCCCGGAAGTGCCCAAGATGGGTCCAAAGGGGGCTCCAGCGGGCCCAAGCTCCCCAAGACGGCCCAAGAAGGCCCCAGGACGGCCCATGAAGGCGCCAAAACGGCCCACGAGGGCCCCGAAAACACCCCCACGATGTTTCCGAATGCCAACATTCATTGATCTTGCTCCCATGACATTCCACATTGTGACCCAGTCGTTGAGGGTCTCGTGGCATGCAGCGAAGATGCCCGAGGATGCCCCGTACGAGTTGCATATGCATGTTCATACCCTTACACACATAAACTTATATGTACATATGCACGCTGCATACACACATACAACAATGTAAGTAGATGGTGTACACCTAGACATGTATACGGAACGTGCATGCACGTGCGCGTGCATACATGCATGCGCACATGTACGCACGCACACATTCCGCTTGCGTGCAAAACTCAAAGGACCAAGGTGCATGGCGCGCAGCGCCAGTGCAGTCTTGTATATATATATATATATATATATATATATATCCGGATTTCTCGGATCAGCGTTGGGTCACCCTCCTTGGCGCGCAGAGCGCGCCAGGGGCAGCGCCAGAGGCGCCGCCAGGGGAGCCCAACGCCGATCCAAGCAATCCGCGCGGACCTCCGCAATGTGATAGTTGTAGTGTCATCTGCCCCATCCATCCTGACAGTTATCCTAGAAGAAGAAGAGTCCTAGCCCAAGCATAGCAGCGAATTGCTGGTTTTCTCGTCTTAGTCAGCCGAAGCCCCCTCCGCCGAGGCTTCGTGTGCTTTTTTGGGGTGGCGCTGCCACTCGTCTGCCTGGCCACCGCGCTGCTGCATCACAACAAGTACGAACTCTGCAAGCAGCACCTCCACCGGATGAGGCAGCCGTGGCTCTCCGGGGGCTGCGATGCAATTCTTCGGCGGCGGAATCCGAAACCTACCCTCGCCCGGTGGCAACAAGTGAACGCTGCCCACATTTCCCCCCCTTCGAGATCCTGGGGGTTGCGGGTAGGGTTTGCATGTGGCCACCTACTCGCCGATCAACGATTTAGCCATTTCGATGGTCGGCGGATGTAGGGTTCGGAATTCGTCGAGCGCGTTGGGATATCCGAGCCCTACCCCCGCCTCCCTTCGAGCCAGGAGAATCGATTTTTGGTGGAGGCAGAGATCGGGTGTCGCCACCTGACTCTCGCTCGGACATCCTCTCGCTACGAAAAGATCACAGCGGAGTTGGCTTGCAGATGTTCGGCCTACGGGGGGCCCCAGCGGGCCCCAGGACGATCGAGAAACGACTCAGGATGAAAAGAAGGTCTGGGGGACGGGGTCCGGACCTTTGGGGCGCCACGGTGCGAAAAAGACATGACGGAGGATGTCGGGGTCTTGAAAGGTCAGGTTTAGTATCGGCATTGGCACATCTGTCGGAAGCCGGCCTTCTTGGTTCATCCGGCGCAGTCCCGCTCAATTCGGCCCCAGCCTAATTTGGCTCAGTGGAATCTTAAGAGGACTTCTTACCCGTCCTTACGAGGGCCTCCCAGAAGTTGCTTCCTAACCGGAGGGAGGCGATGAGGAGGAGGAGGAGGAGGAGCAGGAGGAGGAGCAGGAGTAGGAGCAGGAGGAGGAGGAGGAGCAGGAGGAGGAGGAGTTGGACCAGGCCCCCCTACTGGGTCCGAGTGGACGGGGTCGGACGACCGCGCCGTGTCGCCGATGCGTCGGCGACGCGGTCCGAGGTGGAGCCCGATGTGTTCCGCGCCGACGTCGCCGAGGCATCGCCGGCGGCGCGGACGCATCGCCGACGCATCGGCGGTGTGTCGGCGATGCGGCGCGATCGTCCGGCAAAATCCACTCGGATGCCATCTGGGAGGCCTCCAGGTGGAGGAGGAGGAGGAGGAGGAGGAGGAGGAGGAGGAGGAGGACCGGGGGAGGGCCCTTCGAGACTACGGCGATGTCCGGATGTATTCGGGCGGGTGCTCGTGTTTTCTAACGGTATTCGGAGGTTTTCGGGGCCATTGGATGGTTCCCATCAGCTGCGCGTCGTCACGGGCATTCCTGGGATATCGGTATCGTCTCGAGCAGCCGCCTGAGGCCCGAGCTGTCATCCGAAACCTGTCGGAGGAGGAGGAGGAGGGCCAGCCTCGACAACGGCGACCCTGTCTGGCGTTGTTCGTCCTTTACGAGCCTCCTGGGGGCTTCTCGTCGCCAGGGCCAGATCCGCCTGGAGAACCGAGTCAGGGATGGACTCGGGGAGATGGGGGCGTCTCGTCGCCAGAGGGCTGGATCCTCCTGGGAAAAAAACGAGTCCAGGCGGACTCCGTGAACGGTCTAGGCACAGATGTTGAACAGATTTGGGCCGAAGTTGCCAAGCGTGAATTTTCGAAGGTCCGCACGGATTGGTTGGATCGGAGCTGGGCCCCCTCGGACGAGGCTGGGACGAGGATGCATCCGTTCCAAAGCGTTCCGGAACCTCAGAGCGTCCCGGAAGGCTCTGAGAAGGCCGCGGCGCCCGAGATATACCCTGCAGATCACCCGGATCTCAGAGATTCTTGATTTATCTTTTCGGGATCCCGCAAATGGGAGTGTGCCTTGTGTGTGTGTCAGTGTGTGTGTGTGTGTCAGTGTGTGTCAGTGTGTGTGTGTGTCAGTGTGTGTCAGTGTGTGTGTGTGTGTGTCTGTGTGTGTGTCTGTCTGTCTGTCTGTCTGTCTGTGTGTGTGTTTGTCTGTGTGTGTCTGTGTGTGTCTGTGTGTCTGTCTGTCTGTCTGTGTGTGTGCGTGTGTGTGTGTGTGTGTGCGTGTGTGTGTGTGTCACTGAGTGTGTGTGTGTGTGTGTGTCAGTGAGTGTGTGTCAGTGTGTGTGTGTGTGTGTCAGTGTGTGTGTGTCAGTGTGTGTCTGTGTCTCTGTGTCTCTGTGTCTCTGTGTCTCTGTGTCTCTGTGTCTCTGTGTCTGTGTCTGTGTCTGTGTCTTGTGTGTGTGCGTGGGTATGTGGGTGTGTGGGTGTGGGTGTGTGAGTTCGATCGGTTTTTGCACCGAACCGCCCAGAACAGATGCCCCCCCAGCCGCCGGCAGATCCCGATAGTTCTGATCGGTGGGGCATGCGGGGGGCATCTGTTTAGTGCACCAGCGGAGCGAACTCGTGCCCCCCCTCAGGTTCATCCCCCCCCCCTTGTTGGATCCCGATCCTTACCAGGTTTCATCGTCGTCCTGGCCTCGTCCTGCCCCCCCGGCGGCGCCTCCCGCGTCTTCCCTTGCCCGCTGGCCGAGGGAGCGCGCCGAGGGGGGAAGGCCCCGCGCGCCGAGGCGCGACACCGCCGTGCGGGCCTCCGAGCGTTTCCGAGTTGAGGCCGGACCGAGGTCTGAGGTCGAGGTCGGTTCGGGGCGGGTGAGTCCAGGCTCAAGTCGGCGTCTAAGGCAACAATAGGTTTAACAAACGTAGTGGGGGGACGATGTGTTTGCACTTTTTGTTTTTTTTGGTTTTTGCAATTCTCCTTTTGGACTATTTTCCATTGTTCGTCCAAAATCCGCCTGTAGGGGACATGCCCGACCTAAGTCTGGGCCTCCCAGACGGGGTCCGAGAAGATGGGGTCGGAGGATCGCGCCGCATGGCCGATGGATGCATCGACGAAGCGGCTCGATGTGGAGCCAGAATTTCCCCACGCCGATGGCGCCGATGCACCACCGACGTCGCCCATGCACGGCTGATGCGGCACGATCCTCCGACTCCAACTACTCGGAACCCATTTGGGAGGCTTCTAGTTCATCTGATGTTATTCGTGTTCGTTCATCCGCGCAGGCCTCCGAGAGTTTCCGACGCAGGCCGGACCGAGGTATAAGATCGAGGTCGGCTCGGGGAGGGTGAATCTCATGGTCTTCGTGTTTGTTCATCCGCGCGGGCCTGCGAGATTTGTACGACTCGGGTCGGACCGAGGTATAAGACGGAGGTCGGTTTGGGGAGGGTGAATATCATGTTCTTCGTGTTTGTTCATCCGCGCAGGCCTGCGAGGTGTTTACGACTCGGGTCGGACCGAGGTATAAGATCGAGGTCGGTTCGGGGAGGGTGAACACAATCTTCTTCATGTTTGTTCATCAGCGCGGGCCTGCGAGATTTTTACGACTTGGGCCGGACCGAGGTATAGGACCAAGGTCGGTTCGTGGAGGGTAATGTAATGCTCTTCGTGCTTGTTGGAGGTTCTTGTGCATCCTGGGGATGGTGCCCTCGGATGTTCCGTGTGCTTTGGCCGGCGGAGGGCCTCCTGTCCTCGAAGGATGTCTTTGTGTCCTAGGTCCGACAGCGTGTGGCTGTCCTGCGACGGTCCTCGTCATTACACGCCGATCGCTGAAAGTGAGTGTTTTCGGATGCCTGGGTCCTGAATCTGTTTTCGGCGCCTTCCTACTTCAAGAGTCGAGCGGTTGTCCCTCTTCCCTTCTGCTCAGGGGGCGGGAGGAAGCCCAGTCTACTTCCGAGGCCTTCTACGTACTGGTTCTACCCACTGCTTCCGACCGATGGGTATCCTTCCTTTCGCCGGTCCAAGAGACCCGCGCTGACCTTTTTTTATGCTGGTTCTCTTTGTCTGCAGGCTCGGGAGCTCAGATCGCCCCAACCACACCCGAGAGACAAACGAAGAATTTTGCGCCCAACCCCGTCCGCATCAGCAGACGCGCGGTCCAAGTGCCCCATAACATTCTAAACAGGCTTCCGCCTGTGGGGGGGGCCCAGAGAGTGGACGAAGCATGGTTCGAGCGATTCTGCCTAGGACGGTTTCTGAAATTGCCTCGTTTGGTATTTGGCCTGCTTTTGTCGCGCGCCCCGCCAGAGACATCCTTAACATCTGCCTGGTTTTGCCCCTAAGTTTGGCCTGGATTGGGCCCGGTTTCGCTTTGGTGTCGCTTTAGACGTATTCAAGTGTTGCTTGGTTTGGTCTTGGTGTGGCCTGGTTTGGGGCCTGGTTTCGCTTGAGACGTCCTCACAGTTTGCCAGGTTTGGCCCTGGCTTGGCCTGGTTTGGGCCCGGTTCCGCTTGAGACGTCCTCGCAATTTGCTTGGTCTGGCCCTGGTTCGGCATGGTTTCGGCTCTGGTCCGCTCGAGACGTCCTCACAATGTGCTTGGTTTGGCCCTGGTTCGGCATGGTTTCGGCCCCATTCCGCTTGAGACGTCCTCACAATTTGCTAAATTTGACATTGAATCGATAATTAAGACAGATCGTGTTCGGTGATGAAAGACTGAAGTAATGGCACTGTGTGCAATAAAGAGGCACTGTGGTCCGCATACAGCACGACTGCGCTACAGAATGACGGGCGCAACAGGTGTGGACATTACCAGCACGCTGTGAATCCGTATGGATGGGCGCGCGTGGCGGCGTTTGGAGAAGAATGGGTTCGCTCATATTAGACACGTCGTCGGTACAATGATGGTAGTGGTAATCGTCTTTGCTGTCGTGGCTCACCAGACCGGTGTCGGGGGCAGCTCCGCCACTGTTCGTTTGTTCATGGCAGGGGCGGCGTTTGCTCCATTCACGGCTCGGCTTCTGGTGGATCCACAGCTACAGAATCCAGTTAGTCATTACGTCTGGCTGGTAGCTCCACTCCGTACCGTGTATCTCTTTGTCGTCAGGTTAGGTTCCATTGTCGCAGCACGGGCTACGCTGGCATTGCTGACCTGCTCTCGGCAGGTCCAGCCAGTCATGTTCTGCATGAAGTTGTGATTTTCGTTGGTGCCACGACGTGTGATGTCGAGACCCATCCCCATCTCCCTCTCCCCCCTCTCCCCGCCACCTTCCGTGCATCCTGATCCCCTCGGGATTGCTTCCTGGGGTACCCCTGCGCACACGCCAAGGTTTCCTGTAGCCGAAACGGCAGCAGCGAGAGCACCAGCATTGTGTGAGAGGGGTTGAAAGGACTGAGGGATCATAGTAACAATTTCGCTCTCTTCCACTTCCATTCGTGTCTAAGCGCCATTTCAAGACTGTAGACATGTTGGCCTCTCCTGGTGCTCATCGTCGACATCCCTTCGTCCAAACACCCTGATCCTCGATCCTCCTCCTCCCTCCTTCTCCCTCCTCTGCCTCCTCCTCGATCTCAATCCTCCTCGTCGTCTCTCCTTCCCCCCTCCTCCTCTCCTCCTCCCCCGGACCCCCGGCGTCATCATTTGCTCATGACGTCGACCCCCAGAGGTCTCGACCCATCTCCCGGGGCCGCAAACGCTCCAGAACGGCCCGTCGCGATTTTTTCATGACCCGAGGGCGTCGGGGTCCCCTCTCCCTCCCTCCCCAGACCCACGACGTCATCATTGTATCATGACCTCGACCCTCAGAGGCCTGGAGCCCTTCCCTGAGACCGGTTTTTCATCCTGAGTCATTTTCTGACGGCCCCGAGGCCCCACAGAGGCCCCCCGGGGCCGAAAATACAGGACAAATTATCCGTCGTGACTTGTGTTCACAACCTTCCGTCGTCCAGCTGGATCTCCCCCTCCCCGACCTCTTGGCCTCCTGGATGGGGTCGGAGCAGATGGGGTCGCAGGATCGCTCCGCATCGCCGATATATCGGCGATGCGGCTCGATGTGGAGCCCGATGTGCTTCACTGTGACGTCGCCGATGCATCGCCGACGTCGACGATGCATCGCCAGTGCATCGCCGATGCATCGCCGATGCATCCGGCGCGATCCTCCAACCCCATGTACTCCGAGTTTCTTAACAAGCGTCGGGGAGGGCGTCACCCCCGCCGACAGCCCCACAGCGACCCCCGTCGCGGGCAGCCACTGCGCGCCGAAGGCGCTCCGACCCCCGTCGCAGCGCGACGGCGAGGCGAGGTTGACTCCTGGCGGGGGGGTGGGCGTACCCCCCCCTTCGCTTCGTCTGAGAGCACCCGAGCACGTCGGACCACCATCGAGGGGGCCTCCTGCCCCCCCCCCTCTCCTCCTCCTACCCCCCCCCCCCCCCCTCTCCTCCTCCTCCTCCTCCTCCCCGCCTCCTCCCCTCCTCCTCCTCCTCCTCCTCCTTCCTCCTCCTCCTCCTCCTCCTCCTCCTCCTCCTCCTCCTCCTCCTCCTCCTCCTCCTCCTCCTCCTCCCCGCCTCCTCCTCCTGCTCCTCTGCCTCTCTCCTCCTCCTCCCTTCTCCTCCTCTCCTCCTCCCTCCTCCTCCTCCCCTCCCTCCTCCTCCTCCTCCTCCTCCTCCTCCCCTCATCCTCCTCCTCCTCCTCCTCCTCCTCCTCCTCCTCCTCCTCCTCGCTCCTCCCCTCCTCCTCCTCCCTCATCCTCCTCCTCACTCCTCCTCCTCCTCCTCCTCCTCCTCCTCCTCCCCTCACCCCTCCTCCTCCTCCTCCTCCTCCTCCTCCTCCTCTCCTCCTACCTCCTCACTCCCTCCTCCTCATCCTCTTCCTCCTCCTCCTCCTCCTCCTCCTCCTCCTCCTCCATCTCCTCCTCCCTCCTCCTCCGCCTCCTCCTCCTCCTCCTCCTCCTCCTCCTCCTCCTCCTCCCCCCCCCCCCCCCCTCGCCCCTCCCCCCGCCGAGGCTGGACTACCAGCGCGCGCAGCTGGACCGGGAGCTCGCGGCCCTGGGCGCGGGCGGCGGGCCGCGGCGGCCGCAGCCGGCGGGGGCCGCAGGCCCCGTGGCCGGCGGGCTCCCCTCTCGGGGGGCAGCGCTCGGGGGGGGGGGGCCCTCGGGCCGCTCGGGGGCGAGGCCTCTCGGGCCGCTGGGGCCGCTGGGGCCTCTCGGGCCTCCTCTGGGAGGCCTCCAGGCCAGGATGAAGTCGGGCGCGTCCCCCTACAAGGGGATCTTCGACGAAACATAAAAATTGTCAAAAAATAATCAAAACATAGTATGGGGACTTTTGTTGTATGCTTTTAAATGCAATGTTGGACTATTGTCTGAGCATGTTTTGTTTTTCGCCCAAAATCCCCTTGTAGGGGGACACGCCCGACTTCCGGCCCTGGCGTGTTCGCGGTGGTCTGGGCCTTCCAGATCGGGGTCGGAGTGGATGGGGTCGGAAGGTGATGCCGCATCGTTGATGCATCGGCGATGCATCGAGGGAGGGGAGGGCCAGGATGCAACTCTCGAAGAAGAGAAAACGCTGTGAGCATAAACTTTCGACGCTCCGCGAGGTTATCTTGGCTTTGCACCGGAGCACCCTGGCGGCGCCTCCGGCGCCGCCCCTGGCGCGCTCCGCGCGCCAGGGAGGGAGGTTCAGCGCAGATCCAAGAAATCCGCGCGGACCGTCGAAAGTGTGAGTTTATGTCGTTTATGTCGTGGTTCCTTCTGCCAGACTCCTGGGAGGTCCAATTCTGTATAGGCTCTGG